TGATGCCAAGTCAAGCTGTTTTTCCACAGAAATGAACGAACCAAAAGGTACCAGGGTCCCCTGAGGGGTGGTTAATGGACATCCCTTAACCTATAAAGAGCTATAGTTGGACACCCCAAACAGGGGGCCCAGTAGTACTGGACCTGTGAAACCGGAGCGGCGCTCTGCGTCGAGAGCTTCGCAGCGACGACCGCCAAGTGGCCAAATCGATGACCGAATAGGGATCATCGTAGGACATCTGCAGCACCGGTGTGTTTTCCCACCTCGTGTGCTCGTGTTCCAGTTCTACTGTGTCGGGCTAGTCGTGGCTACTGTGTCGGTTCGTGCGGGATGGGTGGGTACCTAGTAGGTCTGGAGTCTGCCTGTGATGATGTCCGAGGGCCGGTCCAGAATGATAGGGATCTTGCTTTATAGGACTCCAGTCGTACCTTCGTTTCGGTTCGGTGGGACTGGGGGGTGGGTGCCAGGAGGGTCCAAATCACTTCTGAGGCAGTTAGAGCCCTAGAGAATTGGAAGATCTCTGAAGAGCTCCAGGCCGGATGAAGCGACCGCGGACCACTTCTGCGGTGCTTCAAACGCGGTGTGTTTCTATGCGCGTAGGATGGATCGGGAGGTCTGTCAGCCGTCGAGCCTCCCCCAGAGGTCTAGAAACCAAGTCTTCCCCGCGACAAACATGAAAGTGCAGTTCACCAATCTCATCCCCTACCAGCACCCGACTCTAGAGGTCTTGGAAATGGAAGCTTTTGCTGACTTAAAAGTCGCAAATGGTGACCTGTAGAGTCGGGTGCTGGTATGGGTACAGGATTGCATGGTCTTTTCAGAGGTACTGCCATCCAACTTCGCTGAGGGAGACCAACAGCGCCACTTCCCCCCGAACCGGACGAGGGTCCAACGTGGGGGACCCCGGTGGAGCACTGGTCAAATGAAGCGATTTCCTCCCTATACACCGACCCGTCGTACCTCCGAAGCGGTTCGGTGTGACTGGACCCGACTGGCTGGCACCCGGGCCCCCAGTCCCACCGAACCGAAACGAAGGTACGACTGGAGGCCTAGGGCTAGGGTCTATGAGGGATATTAACCTTCGATGGTTTGTATGGTGATATGATGAGGTTTTGACCCACGGCCAGTGAAGTAGCGAAGCAACCAACCCACCAAGAAGCGAAACATGATCAATGACACCCTCACATGCGAAGTTTTTGGAATCCGAATGGGGATTGTTTCGGGAACATTTTTGATCGTATTAGTATCTCTCACCCAAGTGCCTCCTGAATTAGTCAACAGACTGAGTTGTGCCCAATTCATGTGAATCGTCAGTCCAATAGCACTTCCTTTCATGACCGCATGCCACGCTTGTCCTTGGTGCTAGGTTCCTGTGCTTCGGTTTCACTCCGGTGGTGTGCAATGGTATGTTGTGACTCCTGGTCATGTTTTTTTTCTCCACTCAGCGCCTGGCCTGGCCTCGCTCGTCCGTCCTCTCGTCCCTCTTGGGGCCCTAGCTGGGTGCCCGCAAACTCTCGGTCGCGGAGCTCCGCCACACGCGAGGGCGTACGCCCAGCGAAGCAAAAGGTGAAGGGCTCTGGGGTGCGCTTCAGGGAGACGCGCTTCAAGTACTCCTGGAGTCGATCGATGTGGATTTGAGAGGTGGTGCGGGTGGATTGCCAGGGTCCATTCACAAGGAAAGGAGGACGTGAAGAGCACGACCACTACGTCCATCCTTTCCTCCCGCCCTACACCACGCCCACCCTTCCTCCCAACTTCCTACAGTAGGCCTGGGCCTGGACTTCCACGACCGAACCACTTTATCCAAACAATAGAATCAAGCCAAGCGTGACTATAAGAATACCAAGTGATCAGTACAAAGAACAGGAAAACAACACGGTCAAGACACCAAGGTGAGAGTCACACCGCGGTGAGACGGGGTGAAGCGCGCGCGGTGTACGCGCGGCACTCCATCATCAAGTAGCCCGTGTAGCCCGAGACGCCATAGAAGACAAGGTCATACTTGTTGCCATCCCATGTGCTGCACCAATCCTACCAACGCAAGGTCAAGTGCTGTGAGATACAAAGTCTTCATGAAAGGAACTAGCCGCTGCTTTGTCGCATGGCTTTGCTTTAACCGTTTCGCCGTCCAAGGCTCATAGTTCTTGTAGAGGGGGAAGTGCTCGTCATAGATCTTCTGAGCTTCGGCATCATTCTTGTCCTCTTTCAGCCTCCGGTTGGCTGTGGCTAAGGGCTCATACTTGCTCATGAACTCCTTGGAAAGCACCGCGGTGTTCTGCACGCGCCCATGTTTCGCGCCGCGAAAAGAATAAGACAAAAGGCCAGCTGAGAATTCTGTGCACGTCTGTGTTTCAGGGGCCTGTTATGTTATCATATCACATAGCAATTAATGTAGCCTCCGCCCTAAGTCCCCTGAAGAATTCCTAAGATCCTCTCTTTGCGCTCTTTCTCGTGCCTCAGGCGCACTACAGTGCGCCTTCAGCACTGTTTAACTAGCACCCGGTCGCCTCATGGAGTCTGCACCAACTGTAGATTTCAACTCCCGGACACTCCATGGGACTGCCATATATGCCTACATTGGGGTAGTTTCAGGCACTGGCTCCCTCGGCGGCTTCTGCCCCCCTCGCTTGGTCCGGCCCCGGCGGTTTCCGGCGGTTTCCGGCTTCAGGACGCTCGACGGTGACTCACCAGGGGACATCGGAGAAGTAGACGGTCTGGAAGGGAGGCGCCACTTCCTCATTCGCATTGTAGGGCGCCATGGCACCGATGAGAGGCCGAGAACTGACTGAACCGATCTCAGCTGAAGGAAGTCGAAGAGGCACAGGAAGAGGCGAACCACTTCTGCTTGGCTGATTTAGCGAGATTTGGGCACTTCACATACACACCAGCAAAAGCATGTCTCTCTGAACCTTCAACCTCGACACAATAAACACGGATTCAATTAGTTTGTGCTAGTGATCAGCAAAAATCAACAAGTACACCGACAGGGAGGCAAACCAACTGACTCATACACCAACTCATACAGCAAAGTATACTATAGTATACTCATATACCGACTCATAGGTTCCATTCATTTCAGGGAGGCCAACCCGCGATGTTCTCCTTGTATCCGGACTGCTGGCACAAAAGTCCGAAAGTCCTACTGATGGAGCTGCATGCGCAGGACAAACACATGGACGCCCCATCCACAGCTGGCACAGCTGGCACAGCTCAAAGCCAATGATCTATGTCAAAGGTACTCTCCCTGGAACTCATATGATTGAGTGTCCGGAAATGGTTCTTTCACCCCAGCCTCGCCCAGCGACATGTGCATGGCTTTCAGTTGACCTGAAGAAGGGGACTGAAGAAGAATGCCCAAAGGGGAACTCAAAACACAAAACAATTTTCTAGCTACTAGTAGCGATGGCCTCAAACCTGATAGCGATGGCCTCCACCTAGTAGTTTCTTGCTACTAGCAGCGATGGCCGCCAACCTAATAGCGATGGCCTCCACCTAGTAGCTTCTTGTTACTTCATAGCGCCCTAGTCTAGCTCATCACATTCTTCCATCTATATACAGTATATATAACTTCTTTTGACACCCGAATTGTTAAGGTATGTTAAGGTCTCCAATCCGTATGTGGGAAGGACGCTGTCAAAGACATCATAATGGTCACCATCGTCTTCTCAAAGTCGTGTACAATGGCCCATGGTCTGCAGTTTCAGCTGCTCGGCATTCCGGATGCAAACATGTCATGATGTTTGGACCATGTCAGAAGGGTGCATCCCTATGAACACAAACCCCTATGACAATGTCATGCTCGACCTTCCGGATGCTCGACATTCCGGTTCATAGGGGGTTTTGGTACAATGTCAGAAGGCAGGATCCACCGATGATTCGGCATTGCTCGGCACGGGGCTTGTCCAAGCAGAGTTGATCCATGCCATGCAGCTCATTCCTTGGAGCGGGCACACTTAAGCCATCAACCGAAACAAGGAAACTGCATGCAAGAGACTCTTGGTCATAGTTGCCCAACAAATCCAGTACAGTTTTCTTTTGTCAATCTGCTGTACATCTGCATCATTCTGCATCTGATTCTTGCCTTGGATGGCTTGACTTGCACAGCCAGTGAGGCCATGCCTTGTTGAGGCCACTGCATCTGTGAGGCGCAAGTGCAGGAAAAGCCGCAGACCGATTCCATCCCAAGCCTCAGGTGAGCATGGATGCCAAGTGCGATCCTGGGTCCAAACTTAGTTTGATTCACCTTACGACGTCACTGTGTATTCACAGTAAAATGTACCATGTAAAGCAAGTATACTTCAGTAAAGCGAATATCAAGCACCCAAACCCGTTGATTGTTTGTAGCACTTCATTCTACAGCTTCGTGTGAATCCTATCTCAACTCTGCTCCACGACCGAACTGGATGCAATCTTGGCCAACTCAGGAGGCTCATGCAAACTGCCACAGCACAATGTAGACTGTAGACTCTTGATTCATTGATAACATCCCCCTGTGCCGAGGCGTTTCAATCCAACGCGGCGTGCTATGTATCAATCAAGAGTCTACCATATTAGATTCATTTGATGGTGGCCAAGGATTTTGCGTAGCCCATGCCCTAGCATACCGGTACCCTCAATACCGGCAGGAATAACAAACAAATATTCCTGAGACCTTCCTAGCATACCGGTACACCCCGGAATAAATTCCCAAGGTATGGCCAATGATGTTGCACTTTGCAATCCAAAACTGGCCGGCCGGCAGCTCTCGGCCACCTCGCCTGCCTGGCTCGCCACTGAGGTGCTGTAGATTGGGTCATGGTCTTTCACTGTTCGAAGCGTGATGGGTTTGTGCTTGAGACATGATGGAGAATCTTGGCTTTCAAAGATCTATGGCGACCGGTTGACCACCCCAAATGAACAGAACAGACTACCAGAGATTAGGGCTCTCTCTCTCTCTCCCCATGACCCACAACCTATCAATCAGCTCAAGCCGGATGGAGGGGCCCATGTGCTGGCGTTCGCCCGGTCCCCTCCCGCCTTCCTCTTCTGTCGGACATTTTATGAACTATACCTGGCCATGGGTCAATCCCTTGGCTATCCAACGTACAGCTCACATGTCCAGCGGCATTGCGCTAATTGAGACTTGCAATTGGCCCCGACAGGCCCATCTGCTGCATTCAAACGTTTGAGAAACGGCTGGAGCTGCAGTGGAATCTATACACCAAGGGCATCTGCTGCGAAATGGCTCACTTCCGGCGTCTCACAGTCATGGAGAGGTAAACCCTTCTGTAGAAAGGGGAGACCTTCATAGAAGTACTCTCTGACCTCAAGGCATGACCTGCGCGATCGGTCTTGGAAGGTTGGACTGCCTTGCTCGATGGCAGCTCCTAAACGAAGATGGGAGGAGCCGCCTGGGAGGCAGCCGCCTCCCTTAAGCTGCGGCCCATCTGGGCACGCGTAAAGCTGGTATTCCACATACTTTGCTCCTGGCCTTTCTGGTTTCGTTGGAAAGCGGTGAAGATGTAGTTGTCACGTCCAAGCAAGGAGCTGTAGCCAAAAACACTCTTGGTAAAAGCATCCCTGACCTTCACAGTCGTCCAAGGCAGCACCATGTCCATCCCAGTAGCTCCCTGAGCCAAGCTGTCATACCTCCTCAGCATGGTGCCACCATTGCCCACAATGAAGTGTGGTGGAAGACCAGCTAACTGAGTAAGCTGGAAGAAATGAAAATGCCCATGAATCGTCGCTGAGATGCCCTCCAACGTGTTCCTTCCCAGCGCCTGTTGAAGAGTCCATTCAGCCGACTCATAGGCACCCTGGTTGCACTTGAAGCCAAACATGGGATGGTGACTGAGCAAAAAGTTGCTGAGACCCAACTGCTTCATCTCCGCCATCTCTTTGAACTGCTGGCGGTACCGCTCAACTTGTTCCAGAATCTCTTCTCGCGTCATGTCCTGATCGGGGTCCTCCAAGCGGTTGGAAGGGAAGATCTGGAACTGCTCAAGTGCACCAGTGGGACACACATCATCGACGTCCACATCATCCACCATGGCAGTGTCCATGACCAAAAACTGCTCCTTGGCAAAGGGCACCGTGTATGGGTCTGTGTAGTCCACACAGAATTCACCACCGGCCACCGTGTTTGGATAATTTCTGGGGTCCAGAAACAGGAAATAGCCACCACCTCCCCGGTCACAGCGTTCATGATTGCCACGCAGCACGATCCATGGAGCTTTGGACAAAAGGCTGAGGCTCGGAGCAAAGAAGTCGGCATACCAACCGTTCCAGTTGTCACCCCAAGCACCAGGCAAATGGGGAAAGCTCGCATTGTTGATGGCTGTGCATGGCTTATTCTGTGGACAAGGACCCTGCCGATAGAAGTAGTCCCCAACATGGACGACAAGGTCTGGCTTGTCGCTGGCAGCCGCATCCATCTGGGCCTTCAGGTGCCATTCCGAAAGGTTTTGGAAGCTTCCGGACACTAGGCTTGCATTGAAGGGGATGATGGCGCTTGCTTGGCACTGCTTGATGCCGTAAAGTTTCTTAGGTCCAGGGTGAAGGCATGTACCATCATTCTTCGCCTTGACCCGCAAGCCAGTATCACCCAGCAGCAACGTCTTGATGGGTTGTGCGGAGATTCTGGGGAGGGGGCGTCCGAAAACCAGGGTGCCTGCAGGGACGTTCGTCGGCAGCTGCACTTGGCAAACCTTCACCGGAAATCGGTGGGGCATGTGTTGACTACCAACCGCCCGGAGGCTCACATTGCCAGACTCCTTCAACAGACCTTGAGCACCAGCCAGTGCCTTCAGCTTGGGACATGGTTCTGAAGGTGCTACCACTGCACGAGCCTGAGGAACACCACCAGGGGTGTAAATCACATAGACGATGGGGAAGTCTGGCAAAGCAAAAGACCGAACCTCTGCCCTTGCAGAAGGAAAGGACGACACCCACAAGAACGCCCAAGCAAATCTCAGTGCCATTGCTCACACACTGGAAATGGCTTTTAACAGCTCTCCCCGCGGTCGGAAGCCACACCCCATTTTTTGGGGGGGGGCCTACAATAGATAGATGTATGATAGATGTCAGTTTCGTTTGGTCTATCCCTTTTGCAAACCCCTTCCATTTTTGGACACCCGGCTCCACCCCCCATCTTCACCAGGCTGTCGTCCGCTCGCTCCGGCGGCGAGAAGAAGCAGCCGAGCAGCTTAGCGACGCAGATCGAGATCACTTCGAGGTCTGCCTGAGGGAGGAAGAAGAATGCAGACTCGAAGAGGTTGTTTCTTTGATAAACCCCCTATAAGAAGAGGTTTTATGAAAGAATTGAGGAATCAGAAACCCCCCCCCACACACAAAGAGATGTGTTCAATAATGGGGAGGGTTTTATTGATCAAGGGTCTACATTAGGAATGTTCCCATGCTGATGGATTGGCTACAAATGGAAGTGACTTCATCTGTACTTATCCATGAAGAGTTCCCCCAAAACCGATGACACTCGGTCGCGTGACAACTTGATTTTCACATGGCATTGCTTTGAGGTCCTGGCTTTGATCAGGCCGTCATAGCAGTGACGATATGGCAAAGTCTGTCAAAGTCACTGCATGACCTCGAAGTTTGCAAAGTCCCTGGAAGTTGTGCCCTTGCAATCAATGTTCCCAGTTGATGCAATATATGTAATGGTCCAACACTTGGCAGAGGATAATGGGTTCTTATCCCAAGAGTCAACCAGGCGATTTGGAACACTATCCCAGTAGTTTCCTCGTCTGTTTAGGATCCTGGTGAATCCCTCATGCTGAATCAGTTGGATGCATCGAAGACAGAAATCCACGGTTGGGCCTGTGAAATTGGTGCCAAAACCGAAGACATGCGGAACAAGTACTGGAATTCAATATTGTTGACCAAATGCACTGATTCTTCCTGCAAGGTTGTTGAATCAACTAGAGACCTTTGGGGTGTGTGCGTTTCAGTAAAAATCACCGACAAATGATGCGTGCTGGCTTTCACTGCCAAGCTTATGTGACACACCTTGATGAAAGGTCTTCAACCGCAATTCACAGCTAGCTGCTAGCTAGCCTTTGCCCTGAGAAAAAGAACAAGTCAACCCTTTAAGAATTCACATCAATCCTTTGCCATGGCCGCTGACACCTCTTCGGTGTCACGGAACCGTCGTTCACACCGGGGCTGGGCGACCGCACTCGGCGCGACAGGCTTTCGACCCTTGAGGTCTTGACCGGTGAGATCGGTTGACCCGCCGAAGACTCGGCAGTTCAGTCCCAGGTCCGGGTCGTGTATGTGTTTGCCATACGTGGAGTGTGGGAGATGAATCCAGAATCGAGAATCGATGTTGATCGCATTGGCTGCCAGGGCGTCAGGGCACCGCATTTGAACCAAAACAGGCGGCAGGAACGACACGGGGCTCTCAGGTGGCCTTCATCTTCGCATGCGAAACTGAGGCGCCGTATCGCAGTCTCGGCTGCTCCGCTGGAGTGCGAAACGGAGGCGGTCAACACTAACACAACAACTTGCGAGGCCAGCAGCTAAGGGCGTCGCACAGCAGAAAAGACGCGAGTCAAAGCTCCGCGCCGCGCCGAAACGATGCCGGCATCTCGCCGGAGGCCCCCGGAGACAAACATCTTTGGTATCCTTTTGGTAAGTACCTATCTGACTGATCTCCGTTGAACTCCCTTCCACCCATCTTTCGCCGATACACAGACCCAAATCAAACCCAACTTCCATTCCCGACACACCGCTGTCGGCCGCTCTAAATCGGCTTTTGGATCGGCGCTACTTGGACTTTGGCTTGCCCTTCACTTGGAAGGGCTTGAAGAGCTCACGCAGGGTCACCGCCAGCTTCCTGAGGTCGCGGACTCACTCTTCCGACTCCCCGCGTGGCGTGACGCATACGTGGCGGACTCTTGAGGCGAGAAACGGGGGTCTTACAGTGTTTTGTCGCGGAATTGATGTGCTCTGTAGGACCATGTGGGACCATGTGGGACCGGACACGTCATGCATGAAAGGGGGGTGAAAGGGAGTGTACGTGACGTGTACGTGCATTGCGTTTTTTGGAGGGGATCCACATGGATCCAGTCCATCCAATGTATCCTAGAGATTTCTGGATGCATGACATGCAACCCAATCGCTATAGCCATAACCTCATCAATTCAGGCCCTCTGCGGAAGAACGATTGAAACTGTCCGAACCGCGACCTCTGGGGCTGCTGACTTCTCACCTTCTTTGGAGTCTTGACATTGCCGCCAATCCACCTGCGGCTGAATACAGCGTGACGCGGAGCTTCCCGTGGTAAAAAACACGTGTGCTTTCAGGCTCACGAACGAGGTCCCAAAACCACCGGAGGCCGAGGGAATAGGACCCAAACACGGACTTCTGCGCGGAGGGGTGCCTCATCCCATGTGAACAATCGTCAGCATGTTAACTGTACCGTCAACACCCTGATTAATAGTAAAATCACATCGCAACACGCAATGTATGCTCTCCTATTGGAATTGACATTCTTCCCCAAACCTGTGCAAGCCAAAGAGCGCTTAAAGTACTTTGTGCTCAGTGTGCTGGTCCAACTGATTCTTGCGACCCTTTGATGATAATCCCTTGTGCTCAGAGCGCCTTGTCTTCACAGCCCAGGAGATGGCACGCCACCTGGGCACAGCGTGCCACAAATCCAGTGGATCTGAAGTGGTTCAATACCGGACAACAATCCCATTGGATCATTGAAAACCACCTAGAGGAAAACCCTCTTTCCGGGTCCAAAGCGCTGCGCAGTTGGTTGGTTTGGCGACGAACTCGCCCGCCGAGTGCACGCTCCGCTCCACGCCGCGAGCGGCGAAGGTGCCTGACGACCGAAGTTGATGGGGATGCGCCTGGCGACGGTGGGCGTCACATGGAGGGCCGGTCGGGTGGCTTGGCTCGTCCCATCCAGAACCTGTGGGCTGTGACATGATGTGACGCAACCCAACGGCACCCCGGGAGTCCGCCTTGAGGACTAGTGTTCTCTAAGGAAATGGATGAAATATTCAACAGGGATCCATTTGATGTATTTTCTAAAGGGCCGGTTCTTGGCACACGACTCACTCCCATTGGAGTGCGCACTGATTGATGATGGTTCCCTTGTCGACCTGAGATTCTCCTCTTCCGCCAAATTCACACCACCTCAAACTTACCCTTTCATGTTTGACTTCCACCCCCCCACATGTCCGTCTATAGTGCTTGCTACGACCAGTCCCACCCAGGATTCCATGCGGCGTTCCCCCCGCTCCAAGCACTTGCCAGGCCAACGGTTTTCCAGGCAAAGCAGCCTAAGCAGCGGAGTCCCGGAGACGCCCCACGGACGTGAGTCCGGACCCCACGGTGGGGCCAAGCCGGCCGGTCCAGGGCCGGGACAGGCGTCCAAGTACTTGGACAGCCAGAAGTACTTGTGGGGTACTGGAGGGTTAGCAAATGGATTCTCCGAAAAAGCATGCGTGCGTGCTTCCATGGACGAAAAGGCGATTGTCCGAGGATGGAAGCCATCATTATAGCGCCGCTATTTCAGCGTCAACGACGGACGCGCGACACACGATGAAGGTGGCGTGCCGAGTTATTGCGTAACGTCCCATGTGCGTTCATCACCAAAGAACAGAAGCCACAAGAAGAACATGCAAAGCCTAAGGCTAGATGATAAGTGCCAAGACTGTTGATTGACTGATTGATTGGTTGATTGGTTGGTTGATTGATTGGTTGATTGGTTGATTGGTTGATTGGTTGGTTGATTGATTGATTGATTGACTGACTGATTGAAACAAATTCAAGAATGGTTTTACGTCCCCACATTGGAAGTTCTACTACATCAGCCGCATGCAGTCTACAGAATGATGTGCTAACCATGAGTCATGCAGTCATGCACATCATTTCCAACGCCTCAGTTTGCAAGAGTCTGCATGCCTATCCTGGAACCTATACCGAGCTCCCAAACGTAGAGAAACCGCTCAGTCACTCGTCCTGGCAACAAATGCGGGTCTGGGCAGACGCGCAGCGCGGCCGATACGTCCGGACGCGGTGATGAGGGGGGGCCTACTTGCAGCGTCCGCCGTTGTTGCAGCGCCGGGTGAGGCATTCATCACGTCACCCGGCCTGATGGCCTTTCCAGGCCGAAGCTGGCGAGGACACCGTACAAGAATATGTATTTTAGTGTATTTTTCATATGCAGTATATAGAATTATATTGGTTTAGGGTTTGAGGATGTATATAATTGTAAATATCTGCCCTATATTTTGACCGGCGGAAGTAAAGGAAGTTCCCTTTCAGGCCCGCTAAAGACGATTCTTTTTATAGTCTGGGACTCCCAGTGTATGTATTATATATATATATATATCAGCAATCACTCTGGTCGTCTTGGACTTGACCTGGCAGGTAGCAGATTCAACTGATGACCTGGCGCTGGCGCGGTCCTCGTGCACTCAGGTCGCCGGGTATCTCGAAGTAGATGTAAGGTGTCGTCTTGGCAGTCGGGAACGGCGGTCCCAATCTTTTGGCACTAGTCTATCATGAATGCTAGTCTGGAGACCGTCTCTCAGCCATCTCTCCACCCGTTGTCTTCAATTGTCACTGCACCCATTCATGTATGAATTGCACGCTGCACTAACTGGAACGAGTTCAATGGGTGGTTTGCGACAGGAGTCGGAGTAGCGGAGCGGATGGTTTGGCAGCATGTCCGCATCCAGACGAGCATTTCATCAAACAGGCCTTCTCTAGTCTTCTCTACCTAATTCCAAAGCAACTGAGACCAGTTGAGGCGACAGGCAGGGGAAAAATAAGTACAGTACAGAGGGATCCTGGCGGAGTTGTGCCGTCGAGGAAGGGGCGGGGCTCCGGGACGATCAACTTGGCATCTGGCAGGGTCATCGTTCAGGTTGTCCACCACCTGAGATTAAGGATGGAAGGTGCAAGAGAGTCGATCCCTTCGATAAACCAAATCTTGGGACATGTACGACATGACAAAATGCTTTCTATGCAGTTAGTTAACTATCACACCAGCCTCGACCCCAAACAGCAGCGGCAGTCCGAGTTTTCTTTTTTTGGCCGATCCATTCCTGGCGCCCAAACTCCGCCCAGCATCCAGACACGCCATAGAGACAAGGGGAGACGAAAGGAGACAAAGCAAATCATCTGAGCCCAGCATCCAGACATGCCATGGGAGACAAGGGGAG